ATTGGGGTTGGAGCTAAACTCTGCAGGACACCGGCCCTCCAGGACCGAGTTTGGGCACCCCTGGTATATGTCATTATAATCAGTACTTATGTCCCCACTGGATCATAAACACATTTCATTACACCAAAGACACAAAATAATGTTCTTTTTTAGCAACGTCATATGACCCCTTTAATGCATCCTTGCTGAATAAAAGTAATAATTTATTTCACAAAAATATTCTTACTGACCCCAAACTTTTGAACAGTAGTGTAATTCTCAGTCCTCTACATTTTTTTCTGATTAAATATTGTATTTCACTCCAAAATATGTAACATTGTGAAAAAAACGGCATTTCACATCGACTTGATTTTGTTTGGACTGTGTTGCACATACACTTTGTTTTCCCGGCAATGTAATAAAGTTGCACGGGGGAGTTGTTTGCATCTTGATTTGGAGGATATCAGAGGCTCAGGCAGACGTGCAGTGCCATCCTACGTATATATATATATATATATATATATGTCTGTGTGTGTATGCATAATAATATTTATTGTCTTTTTAAATTATATAATTAAAAAATTCTGCATTTATAGACTATTATGTCATTCCAAATCAATATGATTTTCATAGGCAGATATTTAGCAAGATGTTCATGCGTTGTTGTTCTTTTGTTTGTTTGTTTGTTTTGCTTTTTGTTTTTTTACAAATCCAAATTTATTACTTCATAATTACACAGCAAAAATAGTATGAGTAGTATGGTGTTATGGCATTTTGAACATGGAATGTTTTGCTTTCTCACACTGGAGCTTCTGCTTTTTGCCCTCGGATGGCTTCCTCCATAGCTGCGGTCTTTGACCCTGCCTCGGCCTGCTTTGCATCAGTTCATTTTCAGCATAATGACTTCTCTGTCAGTGGTCACGTTAATGGAGTTAGTATAAAACCATACACGGACATTGTGGCCGAGTCTGTTCTCCCTCATTACACCCTGTCACTGTGTTCGTTTGGGCTGTCGTGGAGTTCTAATGCACTCCGAGGGCCCCGAGTGGTGTTGAATGCCATGCTAATTGATCCTTGGGCAGATAAGGGTTTAATGTGATCTGCTCAAGACTAATGTCCCATAAGGACGCTGGCGCTGGTTTCCTTTCAGCGATAAG